GCAGCCAATGGCAGCCGTCCCGCGAGGCCGGGGGCGGCAAAAGCGCGCAGCCATTTGTGCGTGTGGCGGGGGCGGCGGACGGCTGCCATCGAATTATCACCAGCCATGCTCCGGAGGATGGCTGCACTGACTGTGCCCCAGCCATAGTAGATGGCTGAAATGGCTGTGGCCCAGCCATCTTACCCAAGATGGCTGCGATATAGCCAGCTCAGCCATGAGGGCCCGCCCCGGGGCGTGCGGTATGGCTGCAGCAGCGAGCTTCCAGCCATCCGTACTCAGGATGGCTGCCCTGTGTGTATTGCAGCCATCGACCTGGAGGCTATGGCTGCACTGCAGCTAGCTCAGCCATCCTTAGGTAAGATGGCTGTGTAGGAGACAGCACAGCCATAGTGCGCTTACATTCCGAGGTTAGCCGTAACAATAACAGAAGTGGGGCCCGGCCAACAATAAACAACGTTGGCGATTTCAGCCAACACGCTAGCGCAACTGTTAGGCCCCAAATTAACGTTTGACAGTCCTACTCTCTGAGCCCCGGCCCGCCTCTGTGTGACTGTCGGGGGCCTCTGTGTGCTGTGAGCAAAGTGTAATGTGCAGCGAGGATCCTTCAGGTTCTTACGGATATAAAGACTCAGGCTGAGACTCAAAGCGTTCAAAAAGCTTATCCCAGCGCCGCGGCCTCCCTCGCGGCGCGCGCCACGATACCGTCCACCTCGACCCGCGCGTCCGCCTTGGACTCGTGCAGCGCGAACCAGTAGTTAACCGACAGGTTCCTCCCCTCCGAGCCGCGCACTGCGTGCCACCAGCCGCACGGTAGATAGAGCACATCGCCCTCCCGCACGAGCGCACGGAGCGGCCGCGCCTCCGCCAGCGCGGGGAAGCGATCTGCGTCGGCCGGGTCGCACAGGTTTGCGAGCGAGTACACGGCGGCCGAGTTTCGCTCGCCGGCGGGGTAGAGGTTGGGCGTGTCGGCCGGGTGGAAGAGGGTGAGCTCCTTGGCGCCTGGGGGCGGCATGGGCGGCTCGTCGGCCCCGTCCGCGGGCGGAGAGAGGGGAGGGGGCGGGGGCGCCCTGGACGACGCAGAGCAGGTTCTCGGACGGGTCGAAGTGCATCGGTGTCGCCTGCCTGCCCGCGCCGAGGTAGCAGACCGGGTTGACCGCCTGCGCGAGGGTGCGCGCCGTCAGCGGGTCCGGCGAGGGGCGGGCAAAGGCTCGTCTTCTTTGGTGAGGTGTGAAGAGCTTGGTGAGGTGTATAGCTAGTCTTCTTTGGCGAGGTGTGGCCTGCGGGTCGCCGAAGCACCCCCCGAGAGCTGCGGCGGGGCCTCCCTCGAGCGCTGCTGCAGGGTGTGTCTCGTCGAGGTCGGCGAGGAGCTCGGGCAGGCTGCGCCGCAGCTGGAGTCGGGCGGCGTAGTAGCGGGGGTGGGGCGCGGAGAGCTCGTCGAGCAGCTCGCTGAGAGGGACCTCCGCGCGCAGGCGGAGGGGAGGGGAGGGGAGGGGAGGGGAGGGGAGGGCGGGTGGGGCGATGGGGGCGGCACTCTCTCGGCACCCTCTCGGCACCCTCTCGGCACCCTCTCCCCCACTCCGCACCTCGCTGCTCTCGTAGGCCTGCATGCGGCCCGGGTCGCCGAAGAGGCGGCCCCCTTCGCACTCCTGCGGCGAGTGGCGGACCGGCACCGCCTTCCCGCCCACAGCCGACCGCAGGTACGAGTCGCTCCACCGCTGCAGCGGCGGCCAGCCCCGGAGCGCGCCTCGCAAGATGACGGGCCGGTTCTGAGCGACCCACCGCTCGCCGAGCGCGGCGGCGAGGGGAGACAAGCCGCCCGCCGATCCACCGAACGCACTCGCGTCCATCTCGTCCACGTTGACCGGCACGCCCGCCGCGCCGGCGACTGAGAGCGGGCCTGCGGGCGGCCAGGCGCGCAGCCGGTGGGGCAGCTTGGCGGCGTTGTACCCCTCCTGCGTCTTTTCGATGCCAGCCCGCACGCTCGCCTCCACCTGGCAGCGGGCGAACGCTCTGAAGAGACGCCGCAGACGAGACGCCGACAAGAAGAGACGCCGACAGGCCAGGGTGGCACAGGCCAGGGTGGCACAGGCCAGGGTGGCACAAGCCAGGGGTGCAAGGGGCGGGCAGCGCACCCCCTCCGGGTCTGTGCGCGGATCGGAGCGCAGCCTCGCCTCTGGCCGCGGGGTCCGCTTCGGAAACTTCTTCTCAAAGACCTGCCGCAGCAGCAGCTCGCCCACAGTCACGCCTACTCCCTCCATCGATGTCAAGCTCCGCGCGGCGCCCGTGCTACACGCTCGCACCAGCACCCCCGCGCCTCCGCCTTGCCCGCCCGCCGCGCCGCCCGCCTCGCCGCCCGGCGCAGGCAGCGCCTTGCTCGCCCTCGCAGCCGGCTCGAGCAGACAGCCGAGTCCGAGGGCGGACCTAGGGTTAGGGGAAGGGTTAAGGTTAGGGTTAGGGTCAGGGCCGGCAGCCGAGTCCGAGGGCGGACCCGTCCCGCAGCATCCAGCCCTCCTCGAGCGCGAGCTTGAGCCACGGCCCGCGCTCGCCGCTCACCGCCACCCGCTCGCCCCGCCACTTGTACCCCAGCTTGCGCGACTCGTCCTCCGGCTCCTCGCGCACAAACACGAGCGGAGAGTGAACCACAACCCACTCCTCGTGCAGCAGCCAGCCGTCCTCGGCACCCGCCGCCGGCTCCGCCCGAACCAGCGCCCGCGGGGGCTCCTCAACCGGCGCACTCCCACTCGCCGCATCCTCCGCATCTACCGCCGGCGCGGCTGTCGCCACAGCCGCAGCTCCGCCGGTCGGGCCCGAGCCGGACGCCGCTCCAGCCTCCGCCGTGGCACGCGTGCAGGTTTCGGCCCCGTTGAGCTCGTCGAGCAGGTTCAGCACGCCCAGACGGTGCCCGAGCTTACTCAGACCCACCGCCTTGAGCCTCTCGAGGCGCTCTGAGCGGCTCGACGCACGCAGCTCTGGCAACGCAGCCATGACCCCGCACCGGTGGCCCATCTTGGTGATGCCCATGGCCTTAAGGCGTGCATCGAGACTCTTCCGCGCGTTCCCCTCATAGTCTCGTGCGTCGGACAGCATCAGGGCCATATTGCCAAACCGCAGAGCCGAGGAAGAAAACACGAAACCGAGCCGTGGATGTCATGCGCCCGAGGTTCTTCACAGATAACACGACCTCAATAATTTATTAATTGATGGAACTTAAAAACATGACACGTCCTTACTTCTTATTTAATCGTGGGACTTCACATGTCGGCACTTGACAGATGAGAAGTCCTCACCTCTTTTGTAATTGCTGGAGGCTCTTCACAAGTCGGAACGACTGGAGTGGACTCTCCAAACCATAGCTTGTGATCCGACAGGCCAGAATGTGTGACGTGGGTCACTTTGGGCCACGGCCCTCACTCCGAAATAGGTGCAGCGCGATCAGCGCTGAGCTGCTGATAAAGTGTAGTGGAAGTGGCTGGTGTAAATTACTTGTGTGTTAATGATTAATTATTCATAGTATGTATCCCAGAATTCTGTTGGGGGCAAGTATTCAGTCGAGGGTAATGAGGGTCCAGCTGGGTGGTGTAATTACTTATTTATTAGTTAGTGATCAGGATAATAATTATTAATTCTTAATCATCGAGCGGTGGCGCGGCGCGGCGGCGGGCGGCGCGGCGGGGCGGCGCGGCGGCGGGCGACGCGGAGCGGGGCGGCGCGACCATCAGCAGACGCCCAGGCCTTTGGCTGCTGGAGCTCGGCAATGGCCGCGCCGCCCTCGACTCAAGGGGCTGCCTTCCACGCGTCGCTGCTCAGGCCGGGGGAGGGGGGGAGACCTCCTGTTCCTCGCGGAACGGGAGCAGGCCCCTCCTTGCCCGGTCTGCGAAGCAGGGCGGTGGTCGTGCCGCTTCACAACGACCACGCCGCAATCGTCGCCGGCGCGCGACACGTTTCCGTTGGCGGGACTGTCCTGGTCGAGAGTGTGTGCCGCCGAGGCGGGACCACTCGGGGACAGTGCTGACGGGACGCGGCTTGGGAGACGACTCCCGCGAAAGCACGGCTGGCATCCGTGGCGTGGGGCTCGCCTCCGAAAAGTCGGGCATGGCTCTCCCCGCAACTCTCTTGCTAACACGCGTGCCCCACCGAAACTGTGGTGGGCGCGCTGCGGCCGCACGTCTACCTCCGTCATAGTGCCACGACGTGCGGCCTAGATTTAGCACACGCGCCTCAGCTCGCAAACACTCACCCATTTGATTGTCACTGTCCGTGAGTGCGAGATTAGGGCTAGCCGCAGGCAGCTAGCCCATGAGGAGAGCGTCCATAGACACCTCACTAGACCCCACATACGGTCTCGTCCGTGCCTCGCAGGCCGGTGAGATTGCTAGAGGCGGAGCGAGCTGCTCTAGCCTCACATGTCACTTCTTGTCGTCTGTTGTTTGAGTTGTGCCCTTGTTTGTGCCCTTGGCACCGTGGAGTGCTGGGGGGGGCGACAGGGAGGATGTGGCCCTGAGTTATGTGTACGCCGACTCAGGGTGTGTGGCAGCCAGCTGGCTGTGTGTCTTGTGAGCTTGTTTGTGTCTGTGTGTCGCTCGTGCGTGTCGTCATCATCTGTCCAGCGTCCACCCATACCGCGTTGGTGTCCAGTCCGAGCCTGGCTGTTCTTCACCTTACTACCTACCTACCTACCTCGGGGTAACTTAACTAGCTGTATATAGTCGCGATTTGCCCGCGTGCGTATGAGCTCTAGCGCTAGAGCTCACACTAGAGGCCGTCATCGCATTCGCCTTCCTGGTACCCAGCGCTGGCTTCTGACTGTCGTTGCTGTCTCTCCCTTCTCGACTGTCTGTGCTTGCTTGTGCGTCTTGGGTCCGGGGTTGTGTTTTTGTGTGAAGGTGGGGTACTATACCAACTAAAGTGGGGTGGTTGGTGGTACTCTCTTGCAACCACAGTCCTTCCTGAGACATGACAGGCCACTCTCAAGAAGCACCAAATTTCTCTCTCTCCAGATCACCCACTTGGGGAGGGTTGACATCGTGATTTCGGCGGAAAATTTCTTTTTCTGAAAATTCCGGCGTGAAGAGAGGGAAAAACTGGGCCCAGGCCTACCCTGCCTCCCCGTGACGTCCGGAAACAAAAATAAAATACACCGCGAGCGCTGTGCTTATGTGAGGCTGGCTGTGAGCGCTGTGCGAAAGAATTCTAAAAGGTTACACACACACACACACACAACAGGGATCAGGGTTCTCTCTCTCAGATTGTTTGTTTGTTCTCTCTCAACAGGGTGTGAGAGTTTTGTCGCCGATCTGCAGTCTTCGACTCAAAAAAATCTCCACGATCGAGGTGTCAGGAGCCTCAGGACTCACACATATTTCAGGACTCATTATTCGTGGAAACCAGAGGGCCGCATTTCTCGTTTCCGGAAGTTCCAGGGAAACTAGAGGGCGTTTGGTGCTCCCACTGGAGCCAGTCTCGAGTTTCCATCGGCGTCACGCGTGGTCCAAATGTGGGATGTGGGGGATGAGAAAACCTGCCGGCCCGCCGCAATGTGGGATGTGGGTCCTCCGCCGCCGGGGACAGCCCTCTCCACCACCCTCGCCCGGGGATCTACTGATGCTGTCTAGTGTCTTAAGGTTCTTCGGGCCAGTTGGGGGGGGCAAACCCTGCCCGGCCCCTAGGACCCCAGGTAAGGCCCAGGTGTGGCCTAGGGCATCAGAAGGGACCAAGAGGAGTCCAGTCTGAGCCATAGAGCCCATGTCTTTGCCCCCGAAGGTCACGTTCAAATGCCCGGAACGGACGTCACAGTGGTGTCCGGCCGGCGCGATCACCGAGCTGTGACGCTCAGGCGTCAGGGAAGCCCGATGAGGTGCTGGTTTCTTTGGCCAGGGCTGGCCTTCCCCCCAGGGCCCAGGCTGGATCAGCTGAGCAAGGTTTGGGGAGAATCCTATATTGAGATCTTCAGATATTTTGACGGATGACCGAAATCACCCCGTCTTTGCCCATTTTTGGCCGTATGGATGGCATCATGGGTGGGATTGCGGAAGTAGGATAGAATTCTTTTTCTGGTCTGCTTTGCGAGTTTGCTGCCATTGAGTAGCGCTGCTTGAAAATGGCCTCCTCCTCGACCACCGCCCTCGACGAGGGCATCCTCAAGCTCGTGTTTCTGCAAGAGGCGGCCACGGGCCGCAAGGCCGTCGTCCCGCTTGTCGAGGGCGTCGATTGGGAGGGCTTCCTTTGCAGAGTGCGTTCGCGGCTCGGTTTGCCCGAAGGGCACGCGGTACAGGTGCGATGTCTCTCACACCGCCTACCCTGGCCGCTGGCCGCGCGCACGGCACTAGACG